TTCTGGAACTAAGATAGGTTCTATTGTTGTAGATGGAGTTTCAACGGATGTCTTTTGTACTAGTGGTGGTGGAGGAGGCGGCTCAACTGTTTCTTATATTCCAACAATAGATTCTGGCACAGAAATTGGTACGTTGACTATAGATGGAAATGAAAATAAATTGTATTATAGAGAAGGTGGCTCTGATTCAAATCTAACTTACCCATCTGATGCGGTATACATATTAAATCCTAAGAATTGCACTGCTGATTCGATAAAAGCTGTAGGCGGAGTAATAGATGGTTCTGGCTATGGTTACCATGGTCAGGCTTATGGAGATGTGTCTGTATCTGCTGGTGGGAAGGGATTTGATTTCGGCGGAACCAATGGATATATCAGAGTATCAGACAATATAGCTGGAATTCTATCTACAAACATAGAATGTCTTACTCTTACAGCCAGATTTAAAACAACATCAAGCAATTGTTTTATCGGCTCTGTCAAGCGTGGGGCCTCTGCCGCAATACAGCTTAACGTATCTTCTGGCAAGGGTAGATGTGGTGGTAGAACAAAGAACGCAGACGCTTTTAAAGGTGTCAGCACGACCGCTGATGTAAATGATGGTAAATGGCATACTTTGACAGCCATATTGGATTATCTTCATGGTACAATGAAATTGTATCTTGATGAGGCATTATCTGCGACAAGTTCGTTGGTTTCAGCTGGAGAATTTGAAGCTGTAGACTGTTGTTATATATCTAATGACAGTAGTTTCTTTCAAGGTTCTATTTCGGATTTTAGAATATATAACAGAGCTTTGAGTGAAAACGAAATAAAGAGTTTATATGTGATTCCACAGGAAGCATTACCCACTCGTGTGACTGGGGATTTGATAGCTAAAGACGAACCTGTAATCACTGATTTGGCACAGTTGAAGGACGATGTGGTTGAATCTATAGTTCATAAAAGTGATTTAAAATATCCAACTGGTGCTATATTGAATCTTAACCCTAAGAACTGTACAACAGACAGTATCAAGACTGCTGGTGGCGTTATAGACGGAAGTGGCTTCGGGCATCATGGACAAGCTTTTGGTGGGGTCAGCGTATTAGGCGGTGGCGAGGGGTTCAGCTTTGACGGTGTTGACGGCTCTTTAACGATACAGGAAACAGGTATAGCGTCAATTTTAGCAAATGCAGATGGGATAACTATTTGCACTAAAATCGCTGATGTTGTTGCGAATTCAGACCATACATCTTTCTTTGTTTTTTTAGGACAAGGCACAGGCTCTACAACAGCATTAGATTTATTGGTTAATACAAACGGAAAAATCGTAGCAAGAGCAAGAAGAACAAGCACAGACACGCTAATTACAGTCGAATCGACTGTTACAAAAACAGACGGCATTTTGACTGCGGTGTATGATTTTGCGAATGGAGTAATACAGCTTTATTTAGACGGTGAATTGAACAATAGCGTTGAACTCGCGTCTAGTGGCCGTTTTGAATGTTCTATAACAAGAATCACTGTCGGTTCAAGAAACAATGTTTCAAGCGCATTTCTGATGGGCAAACAAACAGATATACGAATCTACCCACGTTCACTATCAACAGTCGAAGTAAAGTCATTATACATGATTCCTCAAGAAGCCGCATTATCACGGGTCACAGCAGACATAATCGGTGCAAAAGCAGTAACTTCTGATAAAATAGGTGATGGTGAAGTAAAATCTAATAACATTGATTCTAACGCAGTTACTACAGATAAGTTAGCAGATAAATCAGTAACTGCTGATAAAGTTGGTACAAATGAAATAACTTCTGAAAAAATTGCAGTTGGTTTCCAGCCAAAATCTTTGGTTGCAGACTTATCTATAGAAGGCTTGCCGTCCTCATGTGCAGTAGGAACGCCGATTCCAAACAAGGTCAACTCTTTAAAATTCGAGGTTCAAGGTGCCGCTTATACCCGATATTTCAATTCGTCCACCAGTAATGGCTGGTGTCTTACAACTTCGGCTTCGTTGGCAAGAGTTGTTTCAACAAACACTAGAACACGTCCTGCGACTTTCACTGTAGCGGCAAGGTGGAGGGTTAACAGCGGAGATTTACCAACAACAGGTGTTTTTTTGCTAGATTCTAGGTCTACCGTTAACAACAGTAGAATAATTATCATGGCAAGACAGTCAGACAGGAAGATAACCGTAAGAATCTATAGTTCTGATGGTGCGACTTACTCTGATAGTGTATTTGGACTTACCATGTCCGCAAACTCTTGGCGTAATTTATGCTTTGTCTTTACAGGAACTCAGATTAAGTTATTCAACGGTGGGGCACTATCAGAAACCAAGGATGCCACGACAGAAGCTCTAAGTGAATCTTCCTACTGTTGGGGGAATTCTTCTACTGCCGCTGGCACTACTTATCGTGCTATGTCTGGTTATCTTGGCTACATGAAATTGTTCGACACTGCTCTAACTGATAATGAGGCCATGTATGTGAGCAAAAACATAGCAGACAGTGACGGTGGGATTGTGACCTCCGACCGACTATCACAAGATGCTGTAACGTCCAGAAACTATAATTCAACTACTGTAGCTTCTTATTTTTCTACGGCAGGATTCTCATATAATCTTACAGATGGTTCGCTTAAAGGCAAGTTCCTTTCATTCAATGAAACAAACGGTTATTATGCTGGTACAACAGTATCAAGGTGTGACAGGGAAATCAAATCAAAGATATCGGAAATATCTACATTGAATAAACTGAAACGGCTTGATATTTATTCCTGGAAATACGACAGGGATAAGATTGCAATCAAGGAAGGCAATAAACCAGAAGGTATAGGAACTACTGAAAGTCCTATGAATATTGCTCCTATGGCACAGGATTTCAATAAACTGTTTGGAGTATGTTTTAATGGAAAGGATTATATCGACCACCTTGATATGGTAGGCGTTGCTCTTCAGTCAATCAAAGAGCTTGCATATGAAGTTGATGAGCTTAAAAGACAGATTAGAGCATATAAGAGAATTCTGAACATAACAGACGAGCAGATTATGGCAGACAGAGATGCACAGGCGGTCAGACTGCTTGAAATAGAGAAAGCAAAACAGAATGACGCTTTAACGTATGAAGAGCAGAATGAACCAGATGATGTTATAGAAGGAACAGATACAGAATCTGATTAAAAGAATAGAATGACGAATGAGCTTCTGAAAAGAGGCTCATTTTTTATTACACATTTTTTATACACTTTTTGTGACTTAATCACACATTTTTTGCTAATAAAGGAGTATTATTGTTTAGATATAGAGATTTTTTTGAGATGTTTTGAGATTTTTGAGAGAGGAATTGAGGATATGAGACAAAATATAATTTTCAGCAAACTTTTAAAAAGTGAAATAGATGACTATAAGAACAACTGTAATTTTACTGAGTATGGTATTTTACCAGAAATAGTATGCTTTGAAGAGAGATGCAAGGGGAGAAGCATTGTTTCGATAAGTATCAAGTACTCTGTTGCAGTAGAAACGGTAAACAAGGTCATACGTGCCATAAAGAACAAAATATATAAATACATGAAGCAATACATTTAATATACATATATTATACACGTCAGTCTTCTTATAATCTGTTATAACAAAGATGTAATAGATTATGGGAGGTTTGTTTCATGAATTATCAGCCATATGAAATGGGTATGCAGGTTCAGCCGTTCATTTATCCCTCGCTGAATCCGTCTATGCAACAAAACGTACAGCCTAAATCACCAGACATGTATAGTTTGCAGTTTATAGACGGTCTTGATGAGCTTCAGTCCAAAGCTGTGCCTATGAATGGAACTCCATGTTATTTTATGCTGAAGAACGACCCAGTGATGTATCAGCTTTCTTTCTGTAATGGACAGAAACTGATTCAGGCATTCCGAATTGTTCCGATGAATTCAATCAGTCAGCAGAGCGAGAATTCCATTGAAAGCAGAATTTCTGCCATAGAACAGTTTGTAAAATCTTTAACAGGAGAAAATGATGAATCCTCTTTATCAACAGCAGGTAATTCCGCAAAGAAATGAGCCAGTTCAGCCTTCACCCAGTAATGTGTTTGAGATGATAATGTCTGGGCAGGCTTCCCCAAAAGCTATCGCTATGACGTGTCTGAGGAACATGGACAATTCTGCCAGAGCTAGGTTCAGAAACGCCATTTCCAGTGGCATGTTCAAGATGTTCGCAACAAAAATGGGTGTCAGCGAGGCTAATTACAATAGCTTCGTCAATGATATTAACTCTATGATTTAAGGAGAATTGATATGGATGAAATGAGTATTGCTAACGCCGTTACTAATATGTTAGGCGGCAGACGTGGTGAAGATTCGTGGGGTTGTGGATGGATTTGGATTATTTTATTATTTTTCTTATTTGGTGGAAACAATACGTTCGGAAGACAACGCAGTGATGTAGCTACAAAAACAGATGTTGCACAGGCTCTTGCAGATAATCGTCTTAGTGCCGATATATCTGTAATAGGTCAGAATCAGTACAATCATCAGTATGAACTTGGAAGACAGTTTGCTTCATTAAATGAAAATGTAAACGCTTCAAGATTTGCTTCTCAGCAGTGTTGCTGTGGTCTTGAAAAGGAAATTTTGCAGTCACGTTACGACATGAGCAAGGCTTTCTGTGAACAGACTGGTGCAAATGCCCTTATGACACGAGATATCATTGCAAACCAGACTGCTGGCTTCCAAAGAGTCATAGACCAGATGACAGCTACTGAAACCAACAGATTGCGTGAAGAACTTACAGCTGAAAGATTGAAAAATCAGAATGCTGAATATATCATCAGCAATCTTAATCAGAATGCTTATCTTATTTCTCAGCTTAGACCTTTCCCACAGCCATGTTATGTAACATGCAGTCCATACACTTCAGCTAGTTCAACTATCTGTGGCGGATGCGGTGCTTAATTAAGTTTGCAGAGGCGGTGGCAAGCCATCTTGTTGCCGCCATTCAAGGAGGAATTGACATGGCTTTAAAATGCTTTACAAAGAGTACTACTGTTATAGCTGGAAATCAGACAGTAACCCAGAATTCCCTTCTTCAGTTTGATTACGCAACAAAAGAATGTGACGCTATTGTTCTCAGAAATAATTCCATAATATTTTCTGGAACGGGTACATATCTTGTTGTTTTTAATGCTTCTGGAGCAGGTACTGTGGCTGAGTCTACGGCTACATTCCAATTGTACAACAACGGTGTTCCTATGACTGGAATTTCAGCAAGCGTAAACACTCCAGCAAACACAAATATAAGCGGAATGGGTTTCTCAACCGTAATCAACGTAAGTCCTTCATGCCCAGCGGCTGATAATACAGCAAGACTTACAGTAGTTAATACTGGCAGTTCCGCTCTGATATCTAACGCTGTAATAAGCGTAGTAAAGATTTGAGGAGTTGAACATGGTTTCGTCAGAGGAAATGATTAAGAAATTGCAGGAGCACGTTTCAGAAGAGATTGATGATTCTGACTGGTATCTTGAGATGTCCAGGTCAGCAGAACTGATGCAGGAACGCAAGATTGCCAATCTTCTGAAGATAATCTCAGATGAAGAGATGTGTCACAGCAAGATGCTTATGAAATGTCTTTCTATGCTGGGCGTGGAATACGACCACAAAGCCTCGGCAAAGACTGGTTCAAAATAATAAAGTTACCCTTCGATTAGATTCGAGGGGTTTCTTTTTTGTGCACTATACTAATTTTAAAATAAGTATTATAATTAGATAGCGGAGGGTTGCAGTCTGATTCTAGAGCAGACTTATGCAATGCCTCTCAGGCATGATACAGACCTCCTCTTAAATGTGAGGAGGTCGCACTATTAAATTTAAGGGGAATGTTATGAATAAATACTTGGCTGTTATATGTTACGATAAGAATGGTCAGCCTTCGTTTGAGCATACAACTGTATTCACTGCTGACAACATAGATGATGCCTATCAGCTTGGTGGAGACCTCATTCATGAGATGTATCCAACGGAAGAAGAAACTGGCTATAACTGGTATGTTATAAATTTAGACGAGGGTGTTAAAATGACTCAGACAATAAAAATTCACAGAGGTGATGATACTACTGCTTTCGGCGGCGGTCTGTTCAATATAACCTATAGAGGTGGAGATGTTTCCATATCCAAGGTAGAACTTGTTATAGGCGGAATAAGCAAGTCCTTTGAAGAACCTGCATTTCCGATACAGATGGACTTATCTTCTTACGAATCAGCAATAAACAAGGTTGGCACTTATGAAATCAAAATGACAATCTATGATGCTGTAGGAAACAGAATCATCGTTCCAGTGGATACTAATCTGGCTGTTGTTAAGGATAGCGAAGTATTCTCTGTTCCTTATTCAAATCCAGAACTCATAAGCCTGGACACTGTTCTCAAGAACGCAGTAGAACCAGAAACTCCTCCAGAGGAAGAAGTTCCTCCTGAAGAACAGCCTCCTGAAAACCAGGAAAATCCTTCTGGTGATTCCCAGGAAGAACAGGGATAAATAAGAAAGCCACCATAAAAACGGTGGCTTATTTTGTGAGGAGACAAAATTATTGAAAGGTATTAATCATGAGCGTAGAATATATTTACAGCATTTAGTATAGCTCATTCGTATTTATAAGTCAATAAAAATGTGTAAAATAAATATAAAAGAAAAGATAAGACAGAGACGTTTGCAGATTCTGATTCACAGTTGTATCTATTACGTTCTTGGGGAAAATATTATTTCGGATGAGACCTTTGACTGCTGGGCAAAGGAACTTCTTAATCTTCAGAATACGTATCCAGACATCTCAAAAGAAGTGATATGGGCTGACGCTTTCAAAGACTGGAATGGATGCACTGGAGCTTTCCTTCCTCTGCGTGACCCCTGGGTTGTCGGCAAAGCACAGCAGATTCTGAAATATTCCATGGAAAATAGAAATCACCACAGCTCTGATGAACATATGGGGTGATTTTCCACTGAATCGATTGTGTAAGAAGTATGAATATACTATACTACTATTTGTAAATTAATTCAACCTTTATTTTGCAAGCAGAATTCCAACAAGAATTACTATAACTGCTTCAGCCCTTCCTGCTCTTTTCCTCTGCTTCTGAGAGTATTTCAAGGCATTCGTCAATGAGTTCGACAGTGTTTTCGCTTCGTTCTCTAGCTTCATTGATTGACTCTGTAGCGTCAATAATTCGTTCTGCAACTCCAGATTGATTCTGTTTGATTCGTTCAGTTTTTTCTCTGCAATCTTCAAGTCCTGCTGACTGCTTACTAATTGCAACTGCAAGCTTGTCTGCTGATTCTTAATCTCGTTCAAGTTCTTCTTCAGTTTCATCATCTGAGCATCTGAGATAAGCGTATCTGACAAGACAGCAGATACCGAGAAAAAACAGAAGAGCGTTGATATACATAATAGTTTCCATTTCATTCCCTGCTCCCTTTGTTTGCAATGAACTTGCCAGCAACCTGAGAAGATATTCCTCCAGCACCAGCAATTACTGCAAATATTTCATAGGAGAATTTTTCTGGCATAATAAATATGATGGCTATACTGACTATAATGAAAGTAGTAAACCCAAGGAAGCTTAAAAGCTTTGTAAGAGAATACTGTCCATCTGCTGATTTAAACATTTTTACACTCCTTGTTTTCTATCGTAAGGAAAATTTCTTTTTCATGACCAATCAGAGAGAGTATCTCGTTTAAAGCAACTCGGCTCTGGCACAGGTCTTTTATGTTATCTCCGTCTATGTCCATGCGACTGCATCCCACACCTATACAGCCCTGAGACTGGGTTTGCAGGGAAGTTCATCGTATGAATAAAGTATGTTATCTCTACCTGGAACATCAAGTATTTTTATACATTTTCCGAATCGAGGACTCTGGTGAACCATACATCGGTATCTTCCCGTAGGAATACAGCTGATATTACGCTGATTCGATGCCCATATCCGTTCTCCTGTCTGGTATTCGTGTCCTTTGATATACATGACACCCAGTGTTCTGTCTTTTAAGAAAGTGTCTCTGACGATATTAAATTCAATCATATTTTTGACTTAGGATACCTCTTATAACAATGTCCACAGACATATTCATCATTGATTTCAAGAAGCTGAACCATAGAGCCGTCAGGATTCCTGCAATACATATTGCCGCAGAAAACACCTTCTGGCTCATAAACTGGTTCATTCTCCATCGTACATAGGTCCTGATTCCTGGGTCTCTTCTTGGAGGGAGAGACCAGTGAAGACTTTGTATTCTGAATAATCTCCCAGAAGGATTCTGAGCCAGTATTCTCTTTCTGAGATTCGCTCTTCTTTTCTTCTGGACGATTCTTTTTCTTTTTGTGACTTTTCGGACATATTTACCGTTCTTCATTTCAAATACGCAGTTATTGCACAACCGATGATTGAACCCAGGCTACTTAACACTGTTCCAGCGAGAGCAAATATGCCAAGCATAATTTTTTCTCTACTTTCCAGCTTCAGAATTCTGTTTTAAGTTCAGATACCTGGCTTGTTAGTTTAGCCATATGTTCCTTCTGCTCCTTTACAGATTCTGTGAGATGCTCAAGTTCAACAACGAATGCACCGTGTTCGTGACATGTTTTACAGTCATCAGGCATAATTGTCGGCTCCTTGATATCAATATATCTAAGTCTAACTTGATTGCTTTTATTTGTCAATCGAAGGTCGTTCGTTTATGCGTTCCAGTTCGTTATCTATTTCTTCAATATTCATTTTTAAAAATCTATAGTTTCCTGAACACTTTCTTTGTATTCCTGGAATTTTTTTAAATCCTCTTCGATGTATTTTTTAAGAAATTTTATTTCCTTTGCATCGGTTAAAGCAGTGGTATCAACGCAGAGTACTCCTATGCTTCTGAGCTTGCCAGCAACGTATTTGTATCCACCTAATCTTGTAACACAGAATTTGCATATTTTCATTGATTATCATCCTTTTCTTCTTCCACAAGCATATGCCTTCTGCATTTGGAGCAGACATAGCATAGTCTTTCCCTGTATTCGTTTATTCTTGTTCTTTTGTTTACGTTATGCTTGTTTTCTTCGTAACAGAAAGGGCATACCGTAACAGAAGAAATCAGTTTCTCTATGTTAGACATGTTTTTCATCTTCTACTTTTGGTTGTACAGTAATCCATTTCGTCCTGCACGACCATTACTTCCTTTTTTTGTCACTTCGTATGGCTGGGTATTCATAACTGTTTTCCTGGTATTCGGTAAGACCCTGCTCATAATCAATTGCGAAAAATCTGTCTCCGAAACAGAGTACTTTTGTTATAAGCTTTTGCCATCTTCCGCTGTCACCTTCGATTTCGTCTGCCTGATAAAAGTCGATAGAGGAGTTCGTGTCATCAATTCCTCCCCATATTATGCTTTCGAGTTCTTCTTCGGAAAATCTTTCTCCGTTATCCATTCTTCTTAAAAATTCTTCTGGTGTCATTTGTGTTGTTTCCCTTCTTCGTAAGTATAACAGACAAAGTCTGTCTTTCTCTTTAAATCATCTATTGTTCCGTCATTCACAACAGCAAAATCAGTAATTCCACTGTTGATTATTTCTGATAAGCTCTTCTTTTCTTCTTCATTCGCACCCGTGTAATGCGGTCTGTAAACAAAAATTAATTTGCCGCCAATACTTTTGATGTATCTGGCTTCATTGAGATGCCTTACGTCAGTAAAAAAGCTGTTGGGTGGAACGCCGTCATCAGTAGCCATTCTTATCCATCGTTGAGGGTCGGAGTCTCTTGCTATTTCTCCCCATCCGACAAGTAATGAACGGTATTTAACCTTAGTTTCTTCATCAAAAAAATTCAGGTTGCTTCCAAGATACCGTTTTACAAGAAAATTACATTCTTTTTTTAACGCATCGGCAAAGGCTATTCTAGTAAATTCTGGATGCAGACTGGCAATAGTATCTTTGCCGACTCTGCTTGCTCCACAGAGACCATATATCATTCTTCGCACTCCTTGTTTTCTATCAGGTCGAGCACAGCCTGTTTTATTTCTGGAACAGTAAATAAAGCTTTTTTGGCTTCTCTGGAAACATTGGCATTGGCTAAGACGAAGCAAAGTATCTTTTTTATTTTTCTTTCGTTAGACATCTTTCCCCATCCATTTGTAATCTTACTCCCAAAACCATATAAATATATATGTGGATACATATCTCTCCATAATGGAGAAAAATTTGTATCCGTCACAACTACATCTGGAAGACCGTCCTGGGTTGGATGGCAGAATACTGCAATATCTTTCAATTCTGTTTCATCCTTGAATGTGAGTTCCCTTGCGGCCTGGCTGATTGCTTCCCCAAGAGTCCACCAGTCAGAATTTTCATTCCATTGCTGTTTTACCAGACCGCTTGTGAATAATGTTATAAGTCTGTTGCTTATATCCCATTCTTCAGCCAGAGTTCCTTCTTGTTTACTGTTGTCTAGAATTTGTTTTTCCATATCGATTCTCCTTTTCATTCAGCAATCACGGCTTTTATAAATTCGGCTACCTTTTCTTTTTTATAGTGAGCATATAAAAACGTGATAGTATTTTTATCATCTCGTCTGTAAAAACAGTATGCTCCAAATTCTATCGCTTCTATGTTATAAATGTTTAGATTTTGATAATTGGGAACTTTAAGACTATATTCTT